TGACGACCCCAACTTTAAAATCAACCCATGAATCTGTTTCCCGAGCTGGGCATGTCGCAACTTTGAACAAACCTGAAGGTTGGCCACGGCAGTCGCTAGCAGCAGCACGCAGCAGCGTCGGAGCAGCAACGGTGACCTAGCAGCGGCGACCCAGCAGCGGTAGCAGCAGCAACAGAAACGCCGACAGCAGCACGACGGAGGAAGCCGGCACAGCTGCCACGACGAGGCAGCAACATGGGTTACGAGCAACAAGCATGGCGGGGGAGGATGTGCTCGTGTGAGTGTGTTGACGCGGCTGTGTGCGTGTGTGTCGATGAGGAGCTTGGAGGTGGGGAGGTGACGAAGACGAAGAAGAAGGTGAAGCAGCAGCTACAACGCTGCGTTGTGCACGACGACGAGGATGAAGAAGACGATGGGTTCTTGAAAGATCTCAACACAAAGTTAGCATCTTTACAAGAAGGTGAAGTGGGTGGTCGTTGGAGTAGGAGGATGACGATGGTGGACTGCTGGTCGTAAGGTGGTGGTTTGGGTGTTGAGGATGGAGGGGCAGCCATTGATGCTAGGGAGGGGAGCTTGAGGAAGAAGAAGGAGAATAAGGGGGGGGGGATGGTTTAGGTATTTTTTAGGGTTTTCTTCTTTCTTTTTATTTGTTTTGTGTTGTTTGTAAGATAATAGGGGTGTTGGGTCATGGACTGGGTCGACCCAGTTCGAAATGGACTGGGTCATAGGGAAGGTTGGGCCATTTTTTTGGGCCTGTGGCATGAAATCGAAGAAGAGGCCCAATTCCGACTTTCTTTATATTTTTTGCTCTCTTTTCTTCTTTTATTTTTCTAAAACTAAATTATAAAAAATCTTAACTTATTATTAAGAACTAAATTAAGTTATAAAAGCGCAAATTAACTTCCAATAACAATTAACGCACAATTAAGTAATAATTAAGCATAAAATTGTATATTTGGACATTAAATGCTAAAAATGCAAACGATGCCTATTTTTGTAATTTTTATTTTTTGTAAAACAAATTTAATTACTAACAATTGTATAATTAAATCCTACATGCAAAATGCGACATATTTTTGTATTTTTAATAATTTAACAAATAAACATGCACAGACAAACATACAAACAATTACACAAAAATACCACAAAATTGCACACCAAGGAAAATCATTTTATTTTATTTTTTTTTGAATTTTTTTGGGAGTAATTCTCATATAGGGCAAAAATCACGTGCTTACAGTAATTATGTGAGAGAAAAATCTGAAAAAGGAGAAAGAGAAAATAAAAAATAGGGTATATAGTGGCTTAAGGAGAGGTAACCAAAATTAGATATTTTGCTATAAACATTAAAAGGTGTCTATAGAATATAATATTTTAAAATGGTATTTATTTAAAATAAATAAGGTGTTAACCTTTGCTATATGAGGTAAAAATTCCCTTTTATTATGGGTTGAGATGTAATGCCCAAATCAGCCCATCACGAAAAATGTTTCATGCCCAACCCATTAAATATTGGGCGGGTTGGACGGATCAAATAAATTTGGGTTATTTTTGCCATCCCTAGGTAATTGGTGTTGAAGATATAATTAAAATAATAAATGTATATTATATTTAATAATTTAAACTTTTACATAAGATGATCACACACTTCACATGGTATCAAAGTATAACGAGGTTCTAGGTTGAATTCTTACCGTCATTATTATCAAAATAATTTCACGTGATTGGCCATTATCACATTATCAATGAATTTAATATGTTATAACATGTTACCTTTTAAATGACCTGATTGTATAAATATTTTTAATATTTTTCTTTTTAACCGTTTAAACTTTTAAAAAAATATAACACGCTTCATCATTCAACGACAATTGTTACACTTGATTTTACTAATTGGTAACATACCCAACAAGAAACAGAAGTCTAATTGCACTTATTATATATTTGGTAGTACATGATTTCTAATCACTTGTTCACATGGCGACAGACCTTTCTTATCTCCCCTTTATCACCACTAATTGGACTATTTTCCGACAAGATAATCAGAGCTTTAGCAAACTGACTATGAAAATATCCATTATCGTTAGCAAATTTCTCCACAAAAGGATACGTAGTTGGATCAGAAACCAACTGTTGATCCACAATTAACAGCCCTTTATTGCTCAAAATGTTCTTGTAGTATACGTTGTCCAACACCATTGGCGTTACACGGTCGTTTCTGGCGTACTCCACTGCTTTAAGAACCGGGTTCGGGGAGGGGCATCGCCCTTTGAGATAATTGGCATAGTTGGGGTCTAGGGTTGGATCAACTGTTGGGTAAAGTCTGTTTACTATGTTTACACAGTGAACTCGTCCTACTGTATGTGCCCCTGCATACAAAATAAGTAAACAATATTTGTGAAAAAATCCCCCAAAAAAGGTGATCTTGAGCTTTTCGAATTGATTTTAGATATAGTATTAAATTAAGAATCTCATTTAGCAAAGTTATAACCTAATTTTTTTAACAAAGAAATACATCATGATCAACTATTAGTACTATGTTTGTTTCACATAAACTGAACATTGTTAAAAATTTGTAAACGTGGTTGAAAATTATGATAAAACAAGAAATATCCTAAGCAATAAAGATCTGGATACTAGCACTAGTTGGACCGACTCAGGAGTGAAGGGAGAGTATAAGTTACACGTTCGGACGAACCTAGTAGCCTATGCTTAGATCCTTTATTTGTATTAGAAAATTTATTAAATATGTGTAAGTATTTAATTGTGAACACAGTAACTATAACGAGTTATGGTTCGACAATAAGTCTAGAATCCAAAAACTTCAAATTCTGGCTCCGCCTCTGGACTTACTCATCGGGAAAATAAATAGTAAACTAAATTTAATGGGAACTTTTTGGGAGAAGTCTAATTTAGGGGGCATAGTTAGTTTACCAAGTAGAGCAACTGTTCCTTCAGTGTCAACACCAACAGACTGGAAACGAGAAAGAACTAACGACATGGAATCATTGTGGTTAGGAATGAAATTCTCAACTTCTGTTAAGTAACTGCCTTTGCTATCCCTTCTTCCAGTTTTCATTTCAATGTGTGGCCCTCCTAACTGTGTCAAATAATAACAGAGTAAATTAATTAAAAAAAAAGTCATTTTATAAGAAAAAATGAAATTGAGACAGAGGTTAATTAAAGACATTAACGTACCATGACAACACCATCTCTAGCAGAAAGAACAACAATATCAGCGCAAGAAACTGTGTTTGGACATTCATTCTCAAGGGCCTCTTTAATTGTCTCTATATACTTAAAATTTCTCATCCCAAAATTCCTCTGTGATGTCTTCTCTGATTTCTGTTCCTTTGTTGTGTCTAATAGTATCGATGCATCGCATGACTGCAAAAATAAATAAATAAAATCAAATCAAATTTATATTATTGGTTTATGCATTTCATGACGTGCCAAAATATCAAGAGGCGGACTTGTACAGGTTCAACTAAACACGTCATTTTTAAGTTTAAATTTTGAATTTACCTTTACATAGCATATTAATGGGTCTAAGCCAAATTGAGCAAGGGCGAAGACTTGGCTATATTATATTGTGCCAATTCCAGTTTTGAGCTACCGACTTGTTTCACAGTGACAGATGTCAATCGCATGTCTATTTCTATGATAAAAAGAGCTTTATTTCCAAACAGATTTACCCATTACTAATGGAGATCCCATATTGGTGCAAATATAGGCCGAGATATCTCCGGCTTGCATATATTAGCTCAGGACTCTCATTAATTATTTTTTTTCAGTGGATGGGTATATGTATTTTACCTTAACCATGCAATCATGGAAGAGATTTCTGATCCAAGAAACTGCAGTATTTCCATGTTTGTGGTACAACTTGATGACTTGTTCTTTGACGATTTCTTCAGCTCTTGGGCAACTCTGTGAATAGTAATTTAACTGGAGATCACTTTTTGCTGCGTCCATTAAAATCAGTAGTTAGTACGTATAAATATATGATAATATAGAGGTATATATTCTTCTTTATCACTAGAAAAAGGATAAATAGATAGTAGTAGTAGTTTTTAGTGTACACAAAAAAGGTCTTTTATTTTGAAGTGGATAATTGAAATGAAGCGTCAGAAAATTCTCATATTCCTTTTGGTACACCGGAAAGAAAATCTCTCCGTTCACTTTTGACTTTGTACTCCTTTTAAGAAAAAATAATTAAAGTATTATAATTTTACTTATAATAATAATCATATTTCAAAAAATCTTGAAAAATGATTTGAAGAATTTAGTTAATGATAAGGGTAAAATAGGAAAAAAAGATTGTTTTCTCTTGATTTGCGAAAATGAACAAGTAAAAGTAAAAATATTTTTTTAGTATGGTGGACAAGTAAAAGTAAACGGAGGGAGGGAGTATATTACAAAAAAAAATTTAAGTTGTCAAAGCTAGAACGAATAGATAAACGGTAATGAAGAGCTGGTCATTAATATAAGGGGAGAAGTAGTACCATAATGAATGTGGAAGAGTAACGCTAATAATAGAATGATGAATCTTGAGGAGGGAGAGAATTGTTGATTATTGGTGGCCATATGTTAGGTATATTGAGGTTTTGGTTTCTTCTTAATGTCAATTCCTAGAAAACCAAAAATTACTTATATAGTAAAGTTTCTATAACTGTATTGGAAGTGGAAGAAGGATCAAAATGCAAGGATAGTTCCATTAGGCCACTATATTTGACATTTTGGCCACATATATTCACCCGCGCATGGAGTATAGTAGTAATTTTTAAGTTATATGCACTTACATAAATTTTACATTTTCAGTGTAAAAAAAGTGCATTACCATTGACTATAGCGAGTTATATATTTTATTTGTATGTAGTCAAATCAAGATTACTACAGACAATTGCATGTTGTTGTATATATGTTATGTTAACTTCATGTAAAAAAGTTATACGTTTTCAGTGTAACAGAGTTAAACTCCTATTTTTACCATAGAAGTAGCAGAAAATTAAAAGAAAAAAAAATGAGATTATATTATGGCGGTGTCGTTATGCAACTAATGGGTTTGAAAGTTTGAATGGTTTTATCACCCCCTTTGTTGATTAAACTAAAACTAGTACGAAAAGCATTACTTCTTGTCAACTCCTGTGTTTGATTCATAAAATGACCTAGTTCGTGGATATATAGCTGATTTCGCAAATTCTGTCCACAAAGATTAGTGGGATTTTATAGTGGGAGTCCAACAACAACAAATTATATGGAAGCATAAGCTATAGTTCATGACTTTTAATACCAAGCACTTATCCCACTAGTATTCTTTAGTTGGCTTAATTCTCAAGTTAGCAGCATTATGACGGCTAATGGGGAGAATCAACTAAACCATCAATTAAGCATGCGGTCCTGAAAAGCTTTTTGTAATTTTAAGTAATGTGATTGGGTGTGATTGAAGTTTATTTTTTAGCTTAGAGGAAAATAAAATGATTAAACCAGTGGCGTAGCCACACTATGTCAAGAGTGGTCAAGTGAACATTCTTTACTGGAAAATTATATTGCGTATATATAAGTAAAATACTTGTTTACCTCGAAAATACGAGTAATAATTAAATTTGATTTGTGGTTTTAAAGATATGTGATTTAGTTCAATACCAATTAATAATCAAGAAATATGAAGTAGAGATGAAAGAGACAAGTGAATCAAACCAATGTTACTCAACATCAGTGACCTCGAGCTTAGTAATCTCGAGGTGGTGTTACAATTAAGTAAGAAAAGTAAAATAAGAAAAGTAGAGCTAAGGACAATTCTTATGAACAGTAGGCAAAAAGGTAGAGAGTATATTCTTTACTCAATGATTAGATGATTTTACAAATGATTGGGGTTCCCTTTATATAATAGGGGAACCCTAAATAAGGAATATTTCTATTTACAGTAAGGAATATTCTTAGTACAGCTGTCTAACCGCCTAGTACGAAATCGTACAACCCTATTCCGGGACTTGCGCCATGACTTTGGGGACGTGGCAGAAATCTAGTTCATTCTGGTACAAATCCATAACGGTACTATTTCGGGGTCGAGCATACTTGGCCCCTGTATTCCTCGAACTCCCATCCCCGGGCATTGCACTCTGTCTTCGAGCTCAAGTCTGATCAACCGGTCTCGAACTCGACCTCGCCGGACTCGGGCCTAGGATTAACCCTTGAGCCTGTAAATTGGAGGCATACGATTTTGACCCTATATAAGGATAAAGTCATACCTTAGCAGTAGTGTCGTTTGAGCAATGATATGTTTCAATTGTTTGGCAGTTGTTCACCTTCCATTGTGCTAAGTTTGTAAGATCCTTTACCAACAACTCTGAGGACTTGGTACGGTCCTTCCCAATTCGGGCCCAGTTTTCCTTCATTTGGTCTCGAGTATTGAGGGTGACCTTCGTAGAACTAAGTCCCCGATTCCAAAATGTTGAAGGTTGGTCCTTCTATTGTAGTATCTTTCGATCTTTTTCTTCTGTGTGGCCATCCGAACGAGCGCCGCTTCTCGCCTTTCATCTAACAACTCGAGGCTAGCGTCCATGGCCTCGTGATTTGACTCCTCCGAGGCATGTCGAAACCTGGCGCTGGATTCTCTGACCTCGATGGGGATGAGGGACTCGGATCCATATACTAGAGAAAATGGGGTGGTCCCCATGCTAGACTTCGATGTTGTCCAATATGCCTAAAGAACCTCGGGTAAAACTTCTCTCCATTTCCCTTTCGCATCGTCCAATCTTTTCTTCAAGTTTTGAATGATAGTTTTATTTGTTGACTCGGCCTGTCCGTTTCCAGTTGGATGGTATGGTGTCGATAAGATCCTCTGGATTTTGTGTGCCACAAAGAACTCCATCACCTTGCTGCCGATGAATTATTTTCCATTTATTACATACAATCTCGGCAAGTATCCCGAACCAGCATATGATGTGGTCCCAAATGTAGTCAATAACTTCTTTTTCTCTGACCTTCTCGAAGGCATGTGCTTCCAACCACTTAGAAAAATAATCAGTCATAAACAGAATAAATTTAGCTTTACCTGGGGCCGTTGGTAGAGGGCCGACAATATCCATTCCCCACTTCATAAAAGGCCACGGGGATAGGACCGAATGGAGTTATTCTCCAGGCTGATGGATCATCGGTGCGAATCGTTGACACTTATCACATTTTCTGACAAATTCCTTAGTATCCTTTTCCATGCTATCCCAGTAGTAACCTGCTCTGATAACTTTGCGAACCAAAGACTCGACGCCGGAGTGATTCCCACAAGTGCCTTCGTGGATTTCTCTAAGGACATAATCGGTGTCCCTTGGCCCCAAACATACCGCCAATGACCCATCGAATGTTCTCTTATACAATGTTCCGTCTTCATCCAATGCAAACCTAGCATCTTTGGCTTGTAGGGCCCTCGATTCTTTGGGGTCCGCTGGGAGTTTTCCATTCTTCAAATAGTCAATATACTTATTCCTCCAGTCCCACGTTAGACTTGTTGAATTTATCTCGGCATGACCCTTTTCAACCACAGACCTTGATAATTGGACAACAGCCCCCGGGACGATGTCATCTTCATCGACCGAGGATCCCAGATTGGCAAGTGCATCGGCCTCGCTATTTTGCTCTCGAGGCACATGATCCAGAGTCCACTCCTTGAAGCGGTGCAAAGTTACCTGTAGCTTATCCAAGTACCGTTGCATTCTATCCTCTCGAACCTCGAAGTTTTTGTTTACTTAGTTTACCACCAATAGAGAATCACACTTGGCCTCGACGATTTCTGCTCCCAAGCTTTTAGCTAGCTCGAGACCTACAATCATGGCCTCATATTCGGCCTCATTGTTAGTTAATCTTGGAGTTTTGATAGATTGCCTAATAGTAGCACCTGTGGGTGGCTTCGAGACAATGCCAAGCCCAGACCCCTTCACATTTGAGGCACCGTCCGTGAAGAGAGTCCACACCCCCGATGTTGTAACTTGTACCCGAGCTTAACAAAAATTCTTTCTCCACTTCAGATACGAGGGTCGGCATAAAATCGTCCACGAAGTCAGCTAGGATTTGAGACTTGATGGTCGTTCGGGGTTGATATTCAATATCGTACCCGCTAAGTTCGACGACCCATTTGGCCAATCGGCCCGATAGCTCAGGCTTATGCAAAACATTTCGAAGGGGGTAAGTGGTTAATACACATATAGGATGACATTGAAAATATGATTTTAACTTTCGAGATGCGCTTATCAATGCAAGCGCTAATTTTTCTAAGTAAGGGTACCTAGTTTCAGCATATTCTAGAGTTCGACTTACGTAATAAACAGGAAATTGTGTACCTTGCTCTTCTAGAACTAGTACCCCACTTACAGCTATCTCGGACACTGCCAAGTATAGATAAAGCCTTTCATCTACCTTCGGGGTGTGAAGCAAAGGCGGGCTCGACAGATATCGCTTTATTCTTCTAAGACTTGCTGACATTCTAGGATCCACACGAGAATTACTCCCAAAAATTCAAAAATAAAATGATTTTCTTTGGTGTGCAATTTTGTGATATT